AGGAGAGACTGTGCAACTGAGTTGTGTTGGGTTTTTTTTTTGCTTGTGTATTTGGCTACTTTTGTATTAAGCGATCTTGTTCCTCATTTGTTGCAGGTGAAGAAAGCCAGGAGTTCAGAAGTATGTTTTATAGTTGCTTTGTTGTGCTAGCTTTTTCCCTGAAAAGCATCTGGAATTTTTTCCTACTTATAAAATGGATCAAGTAAGTCTAAGGACAAGCAGTTTGAATATTTTTCTTTTCTTTACTTATGCAGCCTGAAGTTAAAGATCAGGTGAAGGAACAGATGTCCTTAACAAATAACATTGCCTAATTGTTTCACACTTACAGTGTATGAAGAAATATGAGTCATGAAACTGCGGTTCAGAAAGGAAGGTGTCCTTTATCTAAAGGAAATCATCTTGACTGAGCTTTTAATTATTATTGCATCATATTAGTTAGTACACTTACAGTTGTTGAAACCTGGACAACATAGTTACGGGATTTAGAGTTAAACTGTGGAACAGAAAAACAGTCTGAGCTAAAGACAGTTTTGTGCTGGGAGGGTGAAAGGCCTTTCAATCACTTTGCAAAATTACGCAACTTTAAAATAGTAGCTTAAGAGCTTATACAAATGGACTTGGTTTATTCATGTTAACTTTATTTTAGAACTTGATATATTATGACTTTTTACACTTTTGTGCAATAAGTTTTTTTTTTGATTGAGTGCTGAATCTTTGAGATCAGGTAGGTAAGTTCTGATCCAGAAATTCTCCCTAAAATCAAAAGTGTCTGATATCCTCAGGAATCTGGCTTGTTCTAATCTCTTGGAGAGACACTACGAAACGTGGACTCTAGCAGAGGCACTGTAGGCATAATTTTACTAGCAGGCCCACAGAATTTATTGCCACTTGTGGATGGTATTAATGAAGATGCTGGGTAAATCTGATATGGTCCTCCCATCTTGCCTGCTGGAGACTAAAAGCACCTTAGTTCTCACTTCCGAGGTGGGGAAGGCATTTTTTTTCTTGGAAGCTTCCAAATTACTTGAACTTGTTGTTTAACCTGCTTATTTAAAACTTCAGTGTCGGTATTCTAACCGAGCTCAAAGGTTCTTCATAGCAGTTTTATTAATAGTTATATCTGAAATGTTCAGCCTTACTGCTAATAATTGTTTCAAAATTCCAGAGTCAGGTGTTTAACTGGCTGAAGATAGAGTAGTTATCCTATAAACCGGAAATGCCATCAAATCACTCTGTCATCATGGCACTCCTGATACCTGAGTCACACTGGTGCCCAGGCTTTGGTAGGTGCATTTTTAGATCACTTTGGATCCTCAGTCCTTCTAATAGAGAGAAGCTGCCAGCGAATATTTTTCTATGTAGATCTGCCTCCCGATATCCTAGTGCTCCTTTTGGCACTGTGAGATTTGGCAGCTGGGATACATCACAGGTCTTAGGAAGGCAGAAGAGTTGCCTTGTTGTTCTGGTGCAACCAGTTCATGTTGTTTACATATGTAGCTGATCTTGACAAAAGAACTGTGAGCCATCTAAAGCGCCACCACCCAGGTAGGTGAGCACAGACATCTCCTTAATAATAGTGAGTAGTTAGGACTGGCAAAATAACTATAAATATGGCTTCTCTACATTCAAATATCCTTTCCTTTCAGGTATTCAGATTTAAATGTGATGACATGAGTGATAAATGCTTTGAAATGTTTTTTCTTAACCTTTCTTCTTAGCTCCCTCAGCAGGGTGGTGCTAGGAGAGGGATTTCTCTTCTCTACTATCTAATGAGTTGTTAGCTGTATCTTCAGCCAAGTGCCCAAGGGGATCTGATGTTGTGTAGGAGGCTGGGCCTTGAGTGAGGAAAAGTGGATGTAGTATAGAGACACCTGCCTTTTCTTCTGTAGCTTTGCAGCCTTACTGTGTGTATTGTAGTAGCTTCTAGGGACATAGCCCCTAGCTGAGGACTGCGGCTGGGGTTGCATGGGTGGTGCCATGCAGGGAAGAAGGGCTCCATAATCTCTCCCCACCATAGGGAGTGTGGCTTGTGGCCTGTGTCAGGTGATGATCATGTGTAGCCAGCTGTTTCCTTAATAGTCTGTCTTGCTTCCAGAATGTCCCCCCGCCATGCAAACGGAGGTCAGAGTTCAGGCTTCACTTAGTTATCCACATAAATACAGGAGTCTGTCCCTGGATAGGACAGACAGAAAGGGACAGAACAAGGTAGCTAGAGTAGACCTGTGCCTACTGTTGGCCTTTCAGTGCAGGCCAAGAGGTCTGACGGGAGTGCATGGAGCTCTGCATCTCTTGCCTCAAATTGTCTGCTCTGTGTCTAGGAAGAACTGAGCCCTGAACAGCTGCTGAAGGGATAGACCTGTAGTGTGCTCCTCTTGGGAGCCCGGGCCTGTATGGAGCATGCTCTGGTCTCTTCCACTTCTCTGGCCACCTCAGCTTGAGGTGGTCCCATAGTAAGGGGGCTCAAAGCCTTACAAAGCAGATGATGGCCAAATTTTACATGAGAGTAAACTTAGGCCTGCGCTGAGTTAACTGGGGTAGATACACTCTATCTTGGAGACCTAAGCACAGTAGCTATTTGGGCTGCAGCCTTCGGAGACTTCAGTGATGCAGAGAGGAAGAGCACTGGGGTTTGAATGTTCCTTTCGGAGCTGGTGTTTCCCTGGTGATGGTAGTTTCCTCTGCTGTCCCTTTTGGGACTTTTGTGAACTTGAAGTGACCTATGCTAGTTCAGTCTTGCCTTCCAAAATCAGTTTAGATAAGAGTTGTTTTAGGTTAGAGCCAGGCAACTCCGCACACACCTCTGCTTTTATTTTTTTTTGTACTTTTTTCTTCTTTGACCACTTACTGCAGTGTTTGTGTGCTTGTTCTGCAAGGCTAGTGTGTTTTCTTCCTGTTTTCCAAGTTGGCATGCAAACAGAGGCTGGCAGAATGCTAGCTAACTCTGCTGGATTGCATCCAGCACCAGCTCTAAACAAGTGGGTGAGAGAAGTGGAACTGTAGAGACGGCCCAAATGCTGGCTGGGGATTTGTGTGGATTGGAACAGACTGTAGCAAGCTAGGAGAGGTATGTGTGTAGGGTATATGTCTTCTATCTTTACATTAGTTTCATGTCTCAATCAGTTTTATTTCTGAAATAGAGCATATGCTTTGTTCCTCACTCTATATGTCAAACTTGAGATTTTATATCCAAGGAAATGTTGTTATGAAAGTACAGTGGTGTCAGCATTTATAAATAGTTTAGAACACTTACTTGTAAAAAGAAAATACTAGATATTAGGAAGCAATTACTTTAGGATAAGCAGGGGATATTTTCAAGCAGTAATTTTTTTTAGGGAGGAAATCTGTAACACTCCTAATGACGAGAGGCTTGAAAGAAAGCATTCTCGGCTTTAGCATGTTGCCAGCAGGCTTAGTTTTTGTATGCCTGAAGTATATTTTCTCCTGTGTTCATAAGATGCGTTATTGAACAGGCTCTCTTCCATCTGAGTAGAGGGTACTCATGATAACTGTATCCTGAGGTGTCATCTGGTAGTGTGTATAGTTAAATTGTACCCCTTTTGAGTGGGGAATAGAGCCCCATGAGGTTAAATATAGACCTGGCTGGAACTGCTTCAGATGAATCCTATTTCACTGAAATGTGATGGCTTGTGAAACTAAGCCAATTCCAGTTGGTTTGTGAAGGAACTTGGGAGAGGTCCTCACATGTTCTAAACTGAAGCATTTTGAAATAAAATTCTTCCCACTTTTTTCTAAGTTTTTTTTATCCTGTTTTTTTCCTGAAGGATATAAAATATCTTAAATTTCAAAGTGATTGTGCAACTTAATGTTCAGAAGGTGAAAGATGTGAAGATATTTCTTTGGAGAACTTTAAAAATCTTTTTGAGCTTCCTTTTTGCTTAGGAAGAAAGCCAATTTTAAAAACGCTTCACAAATAAAAGTTTTGTTCTAATCATATAACCTAGTGTTAGCAACATAGTTCCTAATATGATGCTAAATTTTCTCATCTGTCAACATCCTAGTTGTGACAGCTTTGGTTGTGGACCCCTTAGGCTATTTGCCAAACCATGTTCCAACATGTGTGTGTTTTTACTTATATAGGCAAAATTCAAGTACGAAACCTCTCCTGCCCTTGGAAGGAGAAGGTGGTTGTTGAAGTGCAGGAGATGATCTGGCCTTTGAGCAGAATTCCTGTCCAGCTGAGTTGATGTCCCACCACATGGTAAACAGCTGTGATACAGACCCTTCAGTCCAACAGAAATACCTTTTAGAAAAGCAGAGTGTTATTGCATGTCAGGTCAGTGATGGCTTTATCAGGCTGAGGTCTGGAATGGTGCTGGTCAGGGCTGGACAGCTGAGGTGCTGTGTGTGGGACAGAAGTATATGAACAAATAAAGTTGAGGGACATGTGATGCAGTCTTCCTGATGTACTAGACCCAGCCTTTAAATGAATAGTAGCAGTTTCTCCTTCATAAATACCTATTATGGTCAGTTTCATAGCATTGGATGTCTTTCGCATGCTTCGCAAGTGGATAGCTAACACTTCAGAAGCTCTTCATAACAAAAATTTTCTTCTGAGAAATGTTTTACTCACTACATGGACTTTTTTTTTGGAAGCTACCTGTGTCAGATAGTGGTAATTAACTGTCTGTCTTACATTTCTGACTGTGCCTATCCATGCATCTGTGGGAACTGTTTAACACTAACACTCATTTTGGGGGTACTAGGGACTCTGTCCTTAGCCATGTATAAGAAGTCTCATGCAAAACAAACAACAAAACCCTAGGAAAATATGGTAGCTAGAGTATTTGCTCAGTGTCCTGTGTTTGAATAGCCCTTCCTTGAGGATTGTATATGCCATGTTTCTAATGGAGGAGAGACATAGCTGCACTAAAATTCTTCCTGGATGCCACTCTGGTACACAGTTCACTCTGAAGGAGAAAACTGCCAGTGGTCTGTTCTCTGCTTAGTCACTAAGTGTTAAAAATCTGTTTCTCCTTCAGCCTCTGCAAATAAGAGGGGGGCTGGGCCACAGAAGGGGATGTAATGACTCTAATGCACAGCCCTGTGCTTGCCAGTGGCCCACTGGAAGAGTGCCCTGTGCTTACGAGGCCCCCCTCTCCAGAAGAGTTCAGGCTGAATGAAGAAGAGCGGAAAATGAATGTAAGTAAAATAGTCCTGGCTCCTTAAACTCTTTCCTGTCCTACTGTGGCAATGAGCTTGTTTTCCAAAAATTCTCTCACACTCAAGGAAGTGGAAACAAGTGCCTATGGAATATAGTGGCTGAGCTGCTCCTGGCAACAGTTTCTTTTTTTTTTTTTAATGGTTGTCATGCCTCATGTGACCTACTAATTCAGCACAACTGCAGGGATAATCAGGTGTGTTCAAATGTCACCCTTTTTGAAAAAAGGAAAAATAGGATGCTTTGTACCCATCTGGCCCCAAAGGATTTTGTACAGTGTACTGTGTACACCATAGTAACTAATCTTAAGTAAGCAGGCATTGCTGTTGAGGTCCTATGAGTGGTTCTTCCCCTGTGCAAGTTAAATTACTGCTAGTAAAGCTTAAGAGGACTCAGAATCAGAGCATAGTTGAGGTTGGAAGGGACCTCTGGAGATCATCTGGTCCAACCTCCCTACTCAAGCATTGTCAGCTAGAGCAGGTTGCCCAGGACTCAGTCAAGACCCAAACGGACAATCTCCAAGGACAGAGAATCCACAACCTCTCTGGGTAACCTGTGCCAGTGTTTGACCACCCTCATCGTGAGACAGTGTTTTCTGATGGTCAGATGGAATTTCCTGTGTGTTTAATTTGTGCCCCTTTCTTCTTGTCTTCTCACTGAGCACCACTGAGAAGAGTCTGGCCTCATCCTCATTACACCCTCCTATCAGATGTTCATCAACATTGCTAAGATCTCCCGGAGCCTTCTCTTCTCCAGACTATACAGTTCCAACTCTCTCAGCCTCTCATCATATGAGAAATGTTCCACTCCCTTAATCATCTTTGTGGCCCCTTGCTGGTCTTGCTCTACTAAGTCCATGTCTCTCTTCTAATGGGGAACCCGGAGTTTGACATAGCGCTCCAGATGCGGCCTCACCACTTGTATTGGTCAGTCATACCAGTGCTGAGTAGAGGGAAGGGATCACTTTGCTTAACCTACTGACAGTGTTCTTCATCGTGCAGCCCAGGATGCTGTTGCTCTTTGGCCCAAGAGCATGTCGCTGGCTTATGTTCACCTCATTGTCCATGAGGACCCACAGATTCTTCTCTGCAAACCTGTTTTCCAGCTAGTTGGCCCCCAGCCTGTGCTGGTACAAGGGGTTATTCCTCCTCTGGCGCAGGATTTTGTATTTCCTTTTGTTAAACTCCATGAGGTTCCTCTCTGTCCATTTCTCCAGCCATTCAAGGTCCCTTTGAGCAGCAGTGCAGACATCTAGTGTATCAGCTACTCCTCCCCACTTTGTGTTATCAGCAAACTTGCTGAGGGTGCACCCTGTCCCGTTATCCTGTTCATTAATGAAGATGCTAAACAATATTGACGATGTGGGATACCTCTAGTGACTGGCCTCCAATTGGACTTTGTGCCAATGATTACAACCCTCTGAGCCCCGCAGTTCAGCCAGTTTTCAGTCCGTCTCATGTCTGCCTATCTAGCCTGTGCTTCCATTGACTTGTCTGAGGATGTTGTGGGAGACCACATCAAAAGCCATACTGAAGTAGAGATGAACAACATCCACTGCTCTCCCCTCATCCACCATTCTTCATAGAAGCTGTCCTGTTGGTTAACCATGATTTCCCTGTAGTGAATCCATGCTGATTACTCCTGATGATGACCTTACTGTCCCTCAAATGTCTGCATAGTCTCCAGGAGTAGTTGCTCCATCACCTTCCCAGGGCTCAGGATGAGGCTGACTGGCCTTTACTTCCCCAGATCCTTTTTCTTGCCACTCTTGAAGATAGATGTGACACTTGTTCTCTTCCAGTCCTCTGGAACATCTCCTGATGGCCATGAGCTTTCAAAGGTAGTAGAGAATGACCATTCAATGACATTGGCCAGCTCCCTCAGCACTCACTGATGCATCCCGTCAGGGCACATAGACTTGTGTGTGTCCAGTTTGTTTAAATGTTCCCTAACCTGATCCTCCTTTAAAAAGAATAAGTCTTCCTTGCTCCAGACTTCCCTTCTGGTCTCAGGGGCCTGGGATTCCTGAAGGCTAGTCTTAGCAGTAGAGACTGAGGTGAAGAAGACATTCAGTATCTCTGCCTTTTGTGTCCTTTGTCACCAAGGCCCCTACCCCATTTAGCACCAGGTCCATGTTTTCCTTAGCCTTCCCTTTGCTGCTTGTGTACTTACAGAAGCCTTTTTTATTGTCCTTCATTCCTCACCAGATTCAACTCCAGATGGTCTTCAGCTTTCCTAACCCCATCCTGCATGCTTAAACAGTAGCTCTGTATTCCTCCTGGGTCACCTGTCCCTGCTTCTACCTCTTCTACATTTTCTTTTTGTTTTGAGTTTAGTCAGGAGCTCCTTGTTCATCCATGCTTGTTTTCTTCTGCCTTTGTTCAATTTCCTGCTTGTCAGGATGGACCATTCTTGAGCTTGGAGGTGATCTTTGAATATAAAGCAGCTCTTCTGGACTCCCTCCTTCCCCCAGGGCCCAGTCCCATGGGATTCTTCCCAGCAGATAGCCAAAAAGTCTGGAGTTGGCTCTCATGAGAGCCAGGGTTTTGATCCTTGTTGTGGTTGCCTGAATTTGAGCTTTCACTGTTACTTTTTTTTTTTTTCCTTAATAGCAAATAAGTATTGGATTTATGGAAGGGAATGATTAGGAGCAGTGAGCTCTGCGTGTGTTTGTAGTGAGTCATTCAATGCCATGTCTAGTCCTGGAGCTCACAGCTCAAGAAGCACAGTGAAAAATAGGAGGAGATTCAAAGAGCCATGAGAATCAGTTTGAAAAAATCTTTTTGTGAATAGACTTGAGGAGCTTGATACCTTCTGAGAGAAGGTATGGGGTAGCTTGCTCACGACCTGAAGATAGTTCATAGCGGAAAAAATTTAAGATGACTACTGGAACAACTATCCATAGTCAGGGTGGATTCTCCATCAGTGATGACTCTTAAATCAAGACAAAGGGTTTTTTGTTTTTCTTTTTTTCTGAAGAGACTTACTATTGTCACAGCTTTGGATTTAATATAGGAGTTAAAATCACAGGATAACCATTGCTTGTGCATTATAGGTTAGTCACAATCAGCTTTTCTAGGCTGAAGAAACAATTGCAGGTGTAACTAACTTTTCTTTCATGAAAGGGATTGTCAGACTTTGGTGGTTTTACAGGTACACTCAGCAGAGAGATCACCATCTCAGTGTGTCATGTGATTTGTTGTTATAAGTCTGTTTTGAAGCATGTGAAATCTTAGGTTTGCTTACTTTATATTGCTGAATGAGAACTGCATTCAGGACTGTTAATCTAGCTTTCTTCATAGGCTTTAGGCTCATTGAAAGTGGGTTGTTGGTTTGTTTTTTGTATCTTCCTCCCCAGATAAGTTCCAAGAATACTTGTGGTCTAGAGCAGCCTTTTGTACAAGATCAAACTTCTCTCTGTGTTTTGATCTTCTGGAGGCTGCTTTTTTTTTTTTTTCCTCCTGATGCTAAGCAGGATTTTAGAGGAATATGAAGGCAGGAGGCGAGAACAATTCATTGTTCATTAGAATATGTTTGAAAGACTACGGCATTTCTAATGTGCCACTGCAGGATTCAAAAGTACTTCGATCCTAACCTTAAAGTACCTCTGACTTTATTTTAGACAGTGTCCAGGAACTTCACAGGAGAACTTGATGCGTACTTTCCTGTTTTGGGAGAGTGACCCAACAGGTCATCTTCGTCATTAAGTGGATTGCTGGGGTATAGAGGTAGAGTAGCACAGATCTGCTTGCTTATTCATGGCTTTGCTCCTCTGTCTGTGTCGTTGGCCATATTTCTATGGTTAAACGAGGCTTCTGAGCATAAGGGAGGAACAGATCAGGCTGCTTGTGTTATGGGCTTATTTGAATCTGGGGCCCCAAGCACTTCACAGAAACTGATAATGGGACTGTGATGCTCAGTGGGAGGTCTGTGTGAATCTTAAAATGAGGTGACATGTGAGTTGTACTACTCTTGATCAGGTCATCCTACCTGTTCTCAGTTATACCTGTGTGTCTCAAATACTAAATGCAAATTGTCAGATAGCGTGTGGTTTTGTGGTGTCTCAAAACAAGGGCAAAACACTAACAAAGTAAATGCAAAATTATCACTGCAATTAGCAAATTTAAAATGTGCACATTGTTCTGCCGAGGTTGATTGACTATTTGCATGCTTAGTTATATGTGCAATCAAATAATTTTCTAATGATTAGCATTTTTCTGCTATGCTCTTGGGAGGAGGTGTGGTGTAATTTTTCTCCACACTTCACTAAACAGCTCTAATTATCTGTGGCATCCTCTTTGAATTGCTTTGAAGATGTAAATGTGAAAGTTTTTTTTTTTTTAAAACAGGCTTTCATTGTATAAATAACTTAATGCTATTAGAGTTAGCATGCCTTCTTCTGGAACCTTGAGTCCATGTAGTTGGAATTTGATGCTTTCCTAAACAAGGCAGGACAACCTCCTGGTTCAGATCTTGCAGCAGTATGATTCTTACATAACTGCCTTCCAAAACTTTCTGGATGATGCTGAAGGGACTCTTCTCCTTATACTGTTTTTCTTTTTGTAGGCTGTTGGTGTATTTTATGGCCTCAGATAGAATGTTAATATGTTGTTGACCGGGCTTAGTAGTTTTCTTTATGGATATGCTATATTTAATCATAAATGGCTTAGACTAGCCTCAGGCGAAGCGTTTGCATGGTGATGTATAATTAAACTTGGAAATGTGCATGTGTTCAAAATGAGTTGTGTTTTCATCTCTTAAATTACGCTGTATTGTGTGGAGTTTATGCCTTTCTTTCAATACTAGGTGGTAGACTTCTGTAGCTCAAAGGTGACAACCTGTCTGAAATGTTGCCACAGCTTGAATACGATAATGGTGATATGAGAGATACTATATTCATAGAAATGGAAGTGTCTTATTTTCATTTTTGAGGGAGTTGATAGTGTCAGTGTTGAAGCTTTTCCCCGTTGTTTCCTAAGTCCATTGACTGATCTCTTAATGATTAAGCCACGTACTGAGTCTGTAAACATTACAGATCTAAGTAAGCTAGTTCTCATGCAAAATAAGGAAAAGATAAGCTTAAACTTCAATATGCTCCTTTTTCTTGCTGATTAGATAAGAATTCAGAGCAGGCTCCTCAGAAATGTCCTAGGAGCTCAGTGGACAATCTACAGTTAGTAAAAGGATTTCTTATTGCCTGTTTCTCACTCATTCAACAAAGAATGCTTCTATATGCCAACAAGGGATTCTCAGACAAGTTACAGAGAGATAACAGGTTTTATGCTGCAGCAAAATTTCAGTTCTAAGTAGAATTTAAGATCTCTTGAGTTTTGATTCTTGGAGCTGTTGAACTGGCAGAGTCAGGCATTAATAAAAATGTCTATGATAATATAGTATTCCTGTTCTTCCCTTCCCGAGTCCTTTTGTCTTATAACAACAAAAATGCTTAGCTCTTGTACAGCTTTTATCTCTTGTATACAGCCTGTTCTGACAAAGGATATGTTTCTCCTTAAAAGTGTAGCTTCTTAAATCAGACCTGAAGATATAGCAAAAGAAAGTTCACATTGTCTATTTGGAACTTAAAGCAGGCTGCTTGCCTTTTGCCTTTTTTCTTTTTTGCCTTCCCTTTTTCTTGTGTCATCACAAGCTCAAATTTCAATCACTTAAGCTATGGCTGTGTAAACTGCAGAGCCTCTGGAACCACAGGCAGAAACTTCAGTAGATCTCAATTAGTTTTTAATTCTTCCTCTGTCTTTTTCCAGAGTAATTGCAAAGAACTCATGTCTTTAAAGTGACGCAGTCCTCAGATGTCTGTTTCAGATGATCAGTTGAAAGCATACGTTTCATGGTAGAATGTGACAAGGCCAAGAAGCCATAGTCCATCTAGTTTAACAGAGCACATGCTCTCCAAGAATGTAACTTTCATAATCTCAGAAATGGCTGAAATAGAACTGTGGAAGCATATGCCTACTGGGATGTGTCTAACAGTTTGCCCTGTCCGTTGCACCCGAAACATTCGTGCTTACTTTCCTCGGAAGGTGGGGGGGAGGATCTTTTTTGTCCACATCCCTCACCCCTGCCTCTTGCTGTCTACCAGTATTCTAAGGGCTGTAATGCAAGTATGCATTAACCAGTGGTCAAGCATGGAGACTTTTGTTTTGGGGATGAAAGAAGGTAACATTTAGGAGCTTGTCTTCTATTTAAAGCTGAACTAAGTCAGGGAGACTTGGCCCTCACATGTACTATATTAGCTTAAATATCTGACCTTGAAGTATACTTATCTGTTCTTGCGGCTAAAGAGCTTGAGTCTCAAATGTAGGTAGACCACAGACCATCACAGGTAGTATGTGTGTGGAGGAGAGTGTCCAGGGAAGTCTTGAACCATGGGAAGTAAGAATATCTATTGTGAAAAATGGCAAAATCTTAATTGTGGGATTCTTGATGAGGTGGATCCTTGAGTGGTGCTACTGGGACTAGTGTTTTTGAAAATAAATTCAAGCCACAGGTAAATCTTGCATTTTTCTGGGATTGTTTTGAAAACAAATGCAAGTCATACTTACAGGGCAGTGACCAACTTGTGTGCTGCAGGAGTGTGTTAAAACTAGATTCTTTTAGTAAAAATGCTGCAAGACCATATGCTTAAAAAGTGGTTCTCTTACCTCCTTTCTTGTCTGTCTTCCGTCCCAAACTAAATAGCCATTGTTTTTATGATGCAAAGATGTGTGTGTTGTGAGTATCAAGTTTTGGAAAAAAAACAGATGCTGAAGCAGAGAAGCAGCCATGGACTGTTAAGATCTTTAGAAAGGCTGTTGAAAAACCCAACAAAATCCAGGCTGTAATGGAGGTTTTAATAATATATTTATACTGTGTTTTTGGGAACACTTGAAGGTGACTTCTTTCCATTTTAGCTGTGGCCTGGATGAATTGTTGACTTATACAGCATTTAGTTAGGAAGGCCTCTAAACTAAGTAGCCACCATCTTTTTGAGGGGGAGGAGGAACATTATGTTGTTATTACTGCATAATGAAAATAGGACTTTTATAGCAGAATAGTTCCTGGAGAAAATTCTCAAGTTCTCCATTTGAATGGAAGCAGAGGCATGCATTTATAAGAACGAGCCACTAAGGTACATCAAGATTATACTTCTCTGCTGTGAGTTTACCACTCAATTTTTAGTCTTAAGTGAGCCCTAGAAAGTGATTTCTTTAGATATAGGGTGAAACATAGAACAGGTCAAGAAATCAAGAGGTGACAGTGGTGCTGCTATTTGTGTTCACAGGAAGGGACTTTGGCCTTTATTCCTCCTTGTCAAAATATAGCAAGTGGGAAAAAATCCACTGCACAGTAACATTCCTGAAATGTTACTCCAATTAGAAACTGGTGTTCTAGGCTGTGTCTGGCTAGCGGCCTCTGTGATGACTCGGTCCGCTCTGTCACCTCCTGTGCTGTGGTGTTGCTGCCTTTTCATTGATCTTGTGCTAGAAGAGAAACTTAACCCTGCAAGGGGCTATCTTGTTCCTGTGAGTGGAACAGGTTGCCATCATACACCTGTAATGCCTCATAATTGACTTCTGGCCTGCTACAGGGAAGAGTTTGGGCCATCCTATCCTAAATACTGGAGGCATACTGTTACATAAGGAAGCATAAAGTTATAGTCACGAACACACTTACGTATCACCTATTCTTTTCCAGTCTTCTGATGCTTTTGTTCATCAAGATACAATTACAGGTCCAATCTAAAGACAGTTGATGACTGAAAATAAATCTCTTGCTCAACCTTTTACTTTTTTCTTGCAGCTCTCAAGTTCCACTTATAAATACAGGAGTGAGGAATTCAAGAGACAGTTTTCTCATCTGCCAGATTCAGAGAGACTTGTAGTAGGTAAGATTTAATCACACTGAATTACTTATCTTGTGACTGTTAACTCCAAATCACACTACACTCACTGCTGTTGTATCTTTTCTGTGTATAGGTTGTTTGGCTTTTGTTTGTTTGAGGTTAAATAAAATGTAAAAATAATTAAAAAAAAAAAAATATATATATATAGCTGAGACCACCTTCCTCTCTTCCCTTCTCCGAACAAGTATCGGGGAAGTCAGGTCTGGACTCCTCTCTTGTACTGCTTGCTTTGTGCCCCCCAATCATTTGGGGGGCTGACAAGTGAAGGAGAAGATACAGAATCCTCCAGTTCAGCTGGATAAGGAGGGGAGGTCAGATCTATTAAGATAACAAGCTCTTTTCCTTGTGCTACTTTTTCGTGGGTGACAAAACCCCTCCTGACAGTGGTGGACATGACAACTAACAGCTGTCACAGTCCCAAGCTGGAAAGAAGGGCTACCCTGCAGGATGCAGTTTGGAGTGTACACTGAGCACAAGCTCAGCATCATTTGCGTGGACAAGTGCAAGTGTGAGAAGAGGCAGAGTTAAATCCAAAAGCATTGATTTGTATTATGCTCCTTTCAGCATGGACAACCATTTCGGTGCATCTTGCAGCATTGTTGCTTCCCATTCATTTTATGTCCTACGAATGTTTAAAGAATCCTCCCTCTTACTTCAGAGACAGCTAGTTATAGGAGAAGTTGCAGGAGGAGGGAGTGATTCCCTAGCCTTAATAATTGGGTACTTGGACACAAAGGTAAGGGAAGCTGCTTTAGTGGCCCCGTTAAACAGGTGGGCCGTGCTTAGCAGGAGATCTGCCTTGCTCCCTGGAGATAAGCTTAAGCTCTTAGCATGAACGCCTTGGTTAATGTGGTTTCTGAGACTGAAGGTGAAACAGTAGGTGCTTGTAACTTAAAAGAATCTCTTCAGAGAGAAAATGCCAGTTGTGGTGTAAGGACACAAAACTCATTACTTAACTGGAAGCTATTACACACCCCTTTCATCATGGGAGATCATTTGAATAATACAAGCTAATCTTCATCTTGTCTGGATGTCTAATGCTGTTGATTGGCAGGATGTACGTGATGGATTTGTCAACAAGGTATATTGCGGATAGACGCAAACACATTCTGCCTTACATCAGTTTATGCCATTGTGGTTACTGTCCAAGCTAGTAAGTCATGCTGAGATGAAGTATGTTACCTGATGCTGTGCCATACAAATGCTGCCAGTTTTGGATTGGCTTAGGACATGAGGAGAGCTTCCCCCCCCTTATAACCCAGTATGCCAGGTTAGCTTATCCATATGCTGATGACAGGATGCCAGTGAGGCTGCAGGGAGAGAAGTATAGCTCAGCTGGAAGAGCAGAGGTGGTCAGGAGAGCATGTGAGGTAGAGGGGAGAGGAACAAGTGCCAGAGAGTATCAGGCCCTGCTGCATAACTTCTTGACACTGAAATTCTCCTTTTGAACTCTGACTCAGTTCTTCTCTCTTGCAAAATCCGAAGATGGGAAGTATCTAACCCTACCCTCTTTCATACAGTGATGCACCTTGTTCCCTTTTTTATTACCTGCTTTGCAAGTAAACCTGGCTGCACTGCCTGCGTATTGTATGACAAATATACTGCCCAAGAGATGGTCATTGTTTTTTATACAAAGGTGGCACTGTGACTTTTCTTAATCTCCTCTTATGCAACGTTTAAGGCCAATGTTGAGAGGTTGTCAGTATGTGCTTGCAGCACCCCGAGTTCCTCCTAGGTTAACGTGAGAGAAATTGGAGGTTTTACTCATGCAGAAGCAGTTAAATTCCTGCATCCTTCTCCAGCCTTGGAAGGAAGCAGTTATCTTATCCTCTGAGATGCCTTCTGCATTTTTAAAATACTTGAATTCAGTGCAGAAGTAAGGCAGAAGAAAAAGATATTAGTTCAAAGCTTCAGTTTCATGTTTCCCCTTGCATAGGGTTGACTTAGAAAGCAGTGGACGTTTTGTGAAGCATAGTCTCAATGAGCAGACCGCCTAGGATTTGATGGAAGATTTACTGATGGGTTAATCCCAACAATGTAGCACCTGCTCCATCAGGAGTAAAGTCATTACTTTATGTAATTACTTTTTACCTCATAAAAGCAGTATTCCTTTGGAGGGACCTTTGCGTTCACCAAGCAAAGAGCTGTTCCTTTGCTTGATACAGAGGAACTTATCACAAGCTTTACAATGCTCAGAGAAGCAATTACTTGCTGCTTTTTATCAATGGAATTGTAACTGCTCCTGCTTTTAACTTGGCTATTTGAAAAAAAAAAAAAAAAGCAAGTCTGTCACAGTAATGAGCACTATATTATAACAAAGGAATTATACTTCATGCAATCTTTGTATAAAAGAGAAATAATCTAGGCTTTCAAAATGAGTTTAAAGGAGCACCACTAACTTTATCTGAAAATGTAGTTTAAAAGCAACATCTTAGTTTACTGGAATTGAAAACTTGAAAAGAGAAATGCTGTTCTCTTCCTTTGACACCTGTGTGTGTGTAGGTAAGAGGCTCATGTTGCTTATCCCTTACCCTACGCTCCAAGGGAAATCCTTATGTTCTAGCTCTGCAAGAAAAGAGGAAAGGTATTTTCTTTTAGTGCTGTTGCTTCTGGTAGAGGTGTCGGACTAGTATGTGCAAGAAGAAGAAAGAGTAAGATGGTCCATAAATATTAGGCAACTATTTTAGGCCTGTGGAAAAACCTTCTAAACCCAGGAGTCAAATACAAGCTTCTCAGGTATTGCTTTCTTAAAGTCCTTAACCTCAGACTCCCTTCATGTGCCCTCTCCTATCTCTGGCCATTTTGTTCTCTGACTTTTCCTAACTTTTTACAGTATAGGCTTATTGTTTGTTGGTTTAGGTTTCCTTCAGCTTTATGCAATTCTGTTTGCAGCTGCATCTTCAAGGGCTTGTATATATGCCTCATATTTATTGCAAGAAACTTGATTTCCACTTGAGTATCTGAAGGGAAATCCAAAAATTCTTAATCGCAGTAAAAGCTTCTACAGATGCAGATTTACCATGAAGTTAGGATGATTGGGGACTTTTGTACTTCTTGCAACTCAGAAGGGCTGTATTCATCCTCTTAGTGTGTAGGAAATCAACATTCCAGCTCAGATAATAACAAAGAAAAGGATTTTCAAAAGTGCAAACACAGCCTTTGATTAAGTTTTAGATACATCTGTTCTTTCAGGATGTTCATGATACACTCTGGGTATTTTGCATATGTAAGATAACCACCTTTAGACTGGGGCTTCTAAATGGGGCCCATCTTAACTTTGCATTGTGGCTAAGGGGAGCTTTGACTTTTTTTTTTTTGTCCATAGGCTCAGTTCAGTGCTTCTGAAAACTCCTTTTATTTGAATCTCCATGCCCTTAAATCATGTAAGCTCTTTCAAAGACTTTTAAAAAAGTGCAATCAAATCTTCTGCTCTTGTCTTAATTAGCAGGTATATGATAATGGGTAAGTGCATTCAAGATGAAATCATTTCCTAGTAGGAATGTTTCGACCAGAAGCAATATCATAACAAAAATGACAGAGCAAGCTTCTGAAAATATCTCCTGCCTGAAGAATTAGATTGTTTCAAGCTGCTTTTTGTGTCTCACTTTGGAGATTAGTTTTAGATGGGATCTGTTTAGTAGAAAATGATTACTTACTGCAGTGTATGAGCTGCTGTTACATAGGAGTTGACAGTATAATCTGATATAGTATAAAATGTCATTTATGTGTTCTGTTTTGTTTAGGCACTTTGACTTGTGAATACTTCTCATAGGTACTCCTGATCTTGCTTAATACATCTTCCCTGAAAGTATAGATAATGCACAGTGTTTTGAATGTGGAATACTATCTTCCCGCAGATGCTTCTGCTGATTCAAGCATCAGGGTGTTCTGAAAACAGTGGTCTGGATGCAACCCAATACAAGTGTGCCTTCTGAAGAGTGAAGGAAATGCTGTTTTGTGTATCTTTTTTTGTTTTGTCTTTTTAAACGCTCTAATACCCTTATCCCATTCTAAATTAACATAGTTGGGTCTACTGAGCTGCAATAAGTGAGTAAACTTGTTCTTGCCCTCTATACATAGATTATGCCTGTGCGCTGCAGAAGGATATCTTGCTGCAAGGACGTTTATATCTCTCAGAAAACTGGCTCTGTTTCCACAGCAACATTTTCCGATGGGAGACCACAGTAAGATTTCTTATAATCCTCACTTAAATTCCATGTCTCTTTCATCCTAGAATATCCAGCTTTAAGGTTTGGTTGAGGGACTCTTATCCTGTCAATCTCCTGCTGGCAACATTGAGCTGAAAAGAAGAGCCTGTACCTCTGAGTGGGAGTGCAAGTCTGTTGCATCATGAAACAAGAGTAGTCTTGTAGTCTTACTATGTACTACAGTAAGCTTGCTTAGTTACTGAGCACAGGAAGGAGGAGTTTAGGAATTATGCTTTCCCCTCCTATGCTAAAGTTGATCTTTTACATTCTTGTGTAACAATTTGCCTCTTAACTCCATACCCAGAAAAGTTCCTCTAGAAAGAGGCTTACCATATGTCTTTCTGTAAGGCCAGGAGTGTGATACAGTACATAGTGCTGCCTTGCTCGATCTTCAGTGTTGAACCTTAGTTTAGTCTCACATGTGAATTATCAGCATCTAAGGATAGCTAAGGAGAATCCAAATGATTTTTTGGACACAATTCCTATACTATGGTCTGTAGCTTCTGGTCAGTATGAATAAAATCAGATGTTCATGGCATGCTGGACCTCTATTCCTGTCAAATTAGACTAAGGAGTTAAAGGGGTTTTTTTTGTTTGTTTTTTTTTTTCAAGCAGTTGTTGCATTTGCAGTAGAAGTAGCATGAGTCAGTGAATAACAAATGCAAGGTGGCCTAGATTTGATAGAGATGTGGTAAAGTGTTCTGTAGTTGTCGGAACACTCATATCTTAAGTTAATCTCTTAAATTCTGCTCTGTATGCTCTAAAGTACACAGGACAGACAAGAAGTCGCCCATATGTACTCAAGACAGGAGATATAGAAGTACTTAACAGAAAACCAAGCTTAGTTTCATCAAAGAGGGATTGGATGATTGACAGTTTTTCTTTTTTTTAACTGTAGGCTTAAGTTATGGGGGGAGGAGGGAAGAAATCTCCTTTTGAAGTCAGTCTTGCATATTTAAGCTACTGAAAGACTAATTCCTTTATTTCCAGCCAAAATGGCATACATCCTAGTAACTTGCTCCCGCTTGCTTGGCAGAATAGCGTAGTGATACCTTCAGGCAATCTGAGCTCATGAGCTACAAAGCAGAGCCAGGTTTTGGGACCTCTTTAGCAGGCTCTGTTAACGTGGACAGAGGTAGTAAGTGGAGGCTCTTCTGCGTGCGTGGGAAAACAGCAAGATCCAATCTCATATTCTCTTCTCTGGGTTGAAGAGAAGTACAGCATCTAAGCTTGGAGAATACAGTTATAAGATGATTATTTGTAGTGATGGTAATGCTGCTCAAATAGGCATCCCTATATCTTCAAGGGAAGGGTGCTTGGCTGAACAGACCTGGCATGTTGCTGCCAGTCAGACCACACTTTTTTTTTTTAAAAGAAACATTTCAATTACTAATATGCAAGGCAAACACATCCAAATAGGAAGGTTTGTTTGCAATGTCTGATCTGCAGATAATCTAGTCCATTTTCATATAAGTTTGCAAACTTCTGTGAGCAATAGTAGCATAGACAAGATGGTCTGTGTTCTCATCTATTCCTTGCTTGTCTAGCGTAACTGGGGGGCGGTTAGCTTCCAGGTCGATGTGGCTTGTGTGTGGTTGGGATCGTGCCCTCTGCCCTTATGTCACACTGTAAGAATGGAAGTAAGTAAATGAACTGTTTGCTTCCCTAGTCCTAGTATGAAGAGGAGGAAGTAACTCTCAAGTTGTGTTAATGTGTGTGTAACTTGTTCCAAGTTTTGTGTACTTGTTATTAAGGCTAGCAGCTGGAGATAGCAGTTGCCCTTGTGATCTCGGCTGTATTTCATCCTAGTGCTTTGGGTTAGTTTGATGTTTTTTCTTGCATGTTCTATGGCTTTGTAGATTTTCAGACTTGACAGTTATTTTTAACGTGTCTTATTAAATCTGTTCTTGCTTAGATTTCTATTGCCTTGAAGGATATCACTTTCATGACAAAGGAGAAGACTGCTCGGCTCATTCCAAATGCTATACAAATAGCAACAAAAGGAGAGAAGGTGAAAAAGCTGTATTTAAACACTTTTCTTTTAAATGGTAACTTCCAGGGCAGAGCACTTGCTGTGTTTTTTTTTTAATTTGTGTGAGTAAATGTTTCCATGTAAAGCCTTTCAAGGCGGTTAGGATTAGAAAAAAGACTTGGTAGTTTGGTCCCTGTACATATCAGCCTCATAGTTGAACTATAGCTTCACTAGGGAATCCCTTACTAGTGGTGATTCGGGGCCAGAAAGTAAGGGAGTCTGTTCTGCTGATTCTGGATTTGTGCCTTGAAATCTTAATGTGTGGGGGGTGTGACTTTGTCTTTCTGTAGGGTTTTGTGTATGTGTTTTCAGTGGTTTCTCTTTCAGAATATGCTTCCTTGAATTTAGTGTTTTTGTGATAACACTGGATTTAAAATTCTCCTGGAAAAAGGAATTGATGAGGACAAAAGAACTGTGATACCATGGGTTTTGAATCATGGAGAAAACTACTCATAAAACACAGTCCTATTTGTTAGGAGCTGTAGTTTTTTTGCATATGTTAAGAGGAAAAAAAAAAATGAAAAGCATGAAGCAGAATGCTCTTATGGACAACTTACTTCATGATTCTTCTTCTGACAACACTTTAAAATAATAATTATTCTTGGCTGGATAAAAAGGACAGTTTCCAGGGTGAATCTGTAGCTGTTCCATGTGAATCTCTGCTGCTTCAGAATTGGCTGTTTCTTCTTGTATTTCTTCTAAAATACTAATTGTCATCATCAAAGAAGATAAGCCTCTCTTTCTCTGCTTAAATACTCTTTGGAGTAAGAGGTTTTTTAATACTGCAAATGATGCATCTAATTTGTTATCCTATTTTAATGATTAGTTGCTTTCTCATGTGAAAAGACTGGTTAAAAAGGAATATGGGGAGAAAGGATGGAAAGTGCTCTGGCCTGTGAGAAATAGGCATACGCATCTCTTCAGTTTGTTTCCATGTCCCGTTTGGAAGTGGGAGAAAGATTAAACTGCTCATTTAGTTGAAGGGGAGGCCTTTCCTTATGCTAAAGGTACAAACAATTGCAGTTTGCCCGAAAGAGCAAATGTGTCTATATACACAGTGTATACACTGTGTGGATACTGGAGAGGTAGCTCTTGTAAGCTTCAAACAGTTATGAAAAGTGGTGTGTGTATTGTGCTTTTGGGAGTATGAGAAATATGAGCCCAGGTTTAAGAGTGAGAGGAATAAGCCATTGCTGACCCAACTGTGGGGTACGAGGAAACATTCTGGTTTTCTTCAGCAAATTCCTGCAAGTAAGCTTTTTTGTGTCTTATTTTTCCTGCAGTTTTTCTTCACATCATTCAGTGCAAGAGATAGAAGCTACCTCAGCATCTTCCGCTTATGGCAGAATGTGTTGCTGGATAAGGTAAGGTTGCAGGTGCTGGTGCCCATGGTTAGTTAAATAGCAAAAGGATCTTTCTAGCATACACAGATGTGGCTTTGGAGGATAAGAGACTTTGCTTAAGAAATTAGGTTTTCCATTCTTATACAGAATTCTAACCTGATGTTCTCATTCGGCTCCTTGTACTTGAAATCCCAGATAAACTATTCCTACCTTTTCTTTTTCATACTGCCATCTGCAGCTTTGCTTTTGATGGAGCATTTAATCTTTGAAGATGACTGAGGAGGTTGCATGCTTCTCTTAGCTGTCAACTTAAGCATGTATTACTAACTTGGCATACATTTGCTTCATATTTCTTATGGCTAATTGGTGACCAAAAAGGCAGGAGGCTTTTTCATAATGAAAGCTCTTACCTTTTTAACAAACAGGCCTAAGGCACCTTCCTGAATAAGTTAGCTAAACCTTTGCCAACCCAGTCATTACAACTCCCCTGACCTTGAATAAACACAACAAAGGCAGGCTGAACAATATGGAAGTGTATTTTGACGACTTCTGCTAGTTAGCTTGATTTATATTGCAATTTGTGGCACTTAAGCTAATCTTATTTCCAAAAATGTAATGACACTTTTGTTGCAAAGCATCACTGTAAACAATGCAGTTCTTGTAAACCAATTCCTTCCTGTTTATGGTTCTTGTTGTTTTAATTTTTCAGCACAGTTGCAACTGAACCCTGAAATAATCTGTATATAGCACTGCACTACAATAGTCCCCAAAGGCTTAAAGCTGTTGCACTACTCTATATGTAGTTCCCACACACGTTTTTTTTTAGTTAGATGAATTTTAAGGTAGCCTACAGGCACTTTTTTTTTTTTTTTACAAAAAACTGAAAAGCAAGGAAAGTGTCTATTAAGGCAAAATTAACCATCTGTTTCCTGCGAAACTCCTATTCTTCAAATCAAATACCGCTCAATTGTAACATCATAACCGTGTCTTCACATCGTGACTTGTCCTCTTCTCACTTGAATGTAACCGGTATAACTGGACCTAACCTTGTCTTGGCAAAGTTGGGAACTTATTGATCAGTTTGATGCCATGTTGAGGGGTGAATTTATGGGCATTCAGGTGTACAGACCCACCCATGGGTCTAGAACAGGCAACACAGTTCTAGGGTGTTTAGGGTTAGCTTTTTCACTGCATTTTTACTCTTTGCAACTGAAAGGAGTGTCAAATTAGCAACAATTTTTCCCTTCAGAGTAGTGGCTAATGGATAGATTTGGAGGGGATGGAGAGCTGTGAAAGTAGAATGCGTGGACTGCATGTTAAATATGTTGAATTAAACCAGCAGGTTTTAGGGATCAGTGGTCAGTTTAATGCATCTGGGTAGCTTGGGAACTTTCTTATATTGCTTCTATCTAATCTTTCCATTAGTTTTCTTGCCTCTTTCTTCACCTTTCAGTGAGGAGGTAGGTCTCTTACGTGGATTCCTACTTGGGGTTTTCAGGTGTAAAATGGAGAACTACCATCAGGTGTAATGGTGGCTTTCTTTCATCATGGTATGTTGGAAGCTACTTCCTGAAACAGAATTTCTATCAGGGTGAACTCCTGCTTCTACAATGTAATAGTGAGTTCTGATTCTCTGCTAAACTGAATTTGAATCCCTCTCAGCCCACTTAATGATTGATAACTACTAATCCGAACAAGATCAGGCTATAGAGGAGGACTCGGGGGGGTAAGAGTAGAAACTGAAGTTGCCAAAGCTGGGTTCCACTGCAATGACAGCTCTCCACTGAGCAGTTGCTAGAAGGAAGCTGTTGATGCATCCAAGCAGTTTTGCAGTCTTGCTTTTTTTTTTTTTTTTTTTCCCCCTTGGGGAAAAAACACATGTGAAAAGTGCTTCATCCCTCTGGGGCTCTGACAAGGTACACAACACCCTGTGTAAAGCCTGGGATTCCTGAGGCCCAGTGGCCAAAAGGAACCTATCAGAACTTGGGGGTTCGTGACAAAATCCAAATCATGCTCTGTAACCAGTTCCAAAAGGAGCTGATTTTAATGTTTCTTCTGCAAGCAGTTAAATATTTTGAAGCCTATAGATAATCTAGTTATTCTCTGGAGTACTTCTGGCAATAATGGAGGTGACATCCGACTGCTAAATTATGAAATAAAGTCATTCTGGTCTTGTCTGAAGTAGAAATCTGAATACAGCTGTAACAGTGCTGATTTGTGCCCCTTGAGGTAGATAACACCCAAGTTACAGTCTTAAGTTCCTGGATCCAAATCCTGCATGTACTTCAAATTAACTTCTGTCTTGGTCATTTTCAGTCACTGGTTTTGGCCTCTTCAACATACTTCCTAGGTATGGATTCTGCGTTATGAGGTCTTGCTTCTGAAAAGTGTCCTACCTGCTTTAATGTCAATTTTTCACCCCTGCAAGCTTTCACCAACAACCCCTTTCAAGTCTCTGGTAGGGTCAACATGCCCTTTCCCAGATCTCCATCTTGTGGCCATTCTGCCTTGTAGTTTGTAGTTTAAGTATCGTGTGTCCCAGACAGTTGAACAAATAGCCATCTGTAAGGTCAGCCTGTCTTTAAAAAGTGATTTGCTGCTTGCTTTACACTGCAAGAGAAACAGTAAATAGCTACATGCTACTGTGTGCCTCAGCTTACTTAGATCCTCAAGAGTTATCTATCCCTCTCTGACAGGTTTGTGTTACTGTTCTATTAGGGCTCTTGGTCCCCTCCTGGCTGAGTTGCAGTTCTCTAGCTCAGCTTTTTCAAAGCCTGCTCTAGAGGGCAACACTTGGCACTTGATGCCCCTCACCTTTGGTTCCTCTGGGAATCTGTGGGTACCTTCCCCTTAAGACAGTGCTGCTTAGGTTTTCTTTTTTAAATGCCCATTCAAAGACTTGTTTCTTCTGAGGAAAATTCCACTTTTACTTGTTCCTAGGGCAAAATGTGATCAAATGGAGTCTTCTAGGCTTTTACTTGCAACTGTTCTTTAATGCTCCTGTTCAAAAGGGAAGCATCATGGAAAATGAGGAGTCATTAACATGGGTCCTGAAGAGACATGACACCAGCCCTGATAAAACAGATAGCTGCTTCCACATCCACTGAGGCTTTCAATAATACAGCAGTTCATCAACTAAAATCAACCAAAATTCAGATTCTCTAAATTGGTAAAGCAACTTTACTAATGGCTCTTATGGAAACTAACAGCAGTGACATTATACCATTGCTTTATTTTCCTGAAGTCTACAGAGGTGTCAAATATCCCACCAGTTTGAGGGAGAAGGAGTAAATTAAAATCTAATTAGGCAGGTCATTCAAATCCCAAACCAACACAGGGTTCCTTATTTCTAATGGAACAAGATCTTAACTTAATTAGTCTCAATTCCCATGAGTCCTCTTCCTTAGAGTTGGATTTATGTTCCTGTTGTTTTGTGCTCTGGTGGGTAGAGATTTGCGCCTGTCCCCAGAGACACTGCAGCAGGTAAGTGTAGAGGTGTGAGAGGGGGTCAGAAATTTGGACGAACTGGGGTTCTTGAAGCAAATGTGCTAGAGCGGTAACGGCCATCCCTGCCAGCTTCTCAGGCAAGGCAGTGAAAAAGGGGCGTTCTTTCCATGTTTACATGCAGCAAGGATTCTTGCAGAGATCAAAAACTGCTCAGGGATTGGTTCTGATCTTCACGGCCAGGGTGTTAGAGGGAAAGTTCGCTCCACTATTCTGTGAACAAGTGATCAGCCAAAACGCAACATCAGAGTTGCCTGGGTGGTGGCAGGGCAGCCAGTGGTCTCTGGAGTAAACCTATATGGACTGTCTTATCCTTACTTCTGCATCTGGCCCGAAGGGGTAAAAATCGGCAACTTTGCTTATGTCAGTGGTATTCTGTAGTGTTGCTTACTCTGTGTCACCCACCACTTGGACTGGCATGAAACAAAACGTAGTGTTGCTTACTCTGTGCCACCACTTGGACTGGCATGAAACAAAAATATTGGTCTCTTAGCTCCTAGCCGAAAAGACAAGAACGTGTCCCAGCTGCTTCTCATAATCTTGATATACAAAGAGAACTGAGGGGGAAAAATCTAGCATATGCTGTTACTTTGAGCGAGCAAAGTAATCCTTGTTTGAAGAGTTAACTCTAAACTTCAGAACTCCTCAAACTAGTCTGCTCAGGAACAGAAATCTGACCCAGGAAATATTTGTAAACTGCTTTGCCTCCAGAACTTATCTTTTCTGGTACAGCAGAGCAAGTCTGATTTGATGTTGGACTGTGACCATTGACGGTTTACTGTATCTAGCTAAGCATAACTGAGCACTTTGTTTCACAGAGTGCAAGCTTCCTGTTCCTAGAAGCAGAACTTGATAAGGTTTACTTTATAGTAACACTGTATGCAGCTTTATAGATGCAAAAAATGCATAGCTTAAAGTTCTTTTGTTCTCCTCAAACTACTGAACTCCCTGTACAAGGGCAGCCTGATTAGCCAGCCAGTTGGTGCAGAACATATTAGTGAGTTTAATTAGTGGCATTGGCCATCTCTTAGGACTTGAAATAAGGTAGGGGCAATACTGGGCGGTCAGTGGCAGTGGAGGTAGTTTTGTTGCAATTCTTTAATTTCTGGTAGAAAAGTGTACTGCCTAAAGGTATACCTAAGTTGTATTTTGCAACCAATAGCCTACCTCTTATTTTTAGCCATGTCATGAAAAGTTATAGCTAGTTACTTGTGGTTATTAGAGGCTACTGTTCCAAAAACAGAGCACGCATGTAGAAAGCAAGGTGGTCGCCTGCTGCTGCGTGCATTTTAGCACCACGTTGCGTCTCCAGAAAGTGAGGCCGATGCAATATGTGGAAGCTCAGTGGTTTTGCACACCCGTGGCTCTCTGTATGGTTATGTGCCGTGGGGCCCACGCGTAGCGGGGGCCGGCCC